ATGGAAAGATAAAACCAATAAAATAGAAAACCCTAATTCAAGACAAAAATAAAGCATGAAAATGACATACTTGCACACAAACGCCCCTCGATGACGCTATTCAAAGTTGCCTTACAAAAATGATCTTAGTCCCTAAAAATGGTAAGATACTTTGCAACATTGCTAATCATGGCTATACGATGACCCACGCCCGTCCCGTTTACATCCAAAGATAGGGTTGCTTACCAAATCAATGGTAGGACAACAATGTCAAAGGAAAAGAAAATGAACAAGAAAGACATTTGAGTAGGTAGATTACTTTTAGTTACTTGCTCCATTTCAAAACAAATATCCTTTCTATTTTCAAAACAAACACACACATTTCCAAACATCTTACAAAATTGAAAACATTTTCAAAAAGATCAACATCTTTGTATACATTCTTTCGAACAAGAATCATTACAAAGATTGCCTAAACGATGGCCTCTTTTACAAAATACTTTCAAAACCACATTAAGCACGATTTCAAACAAAAGCAAGTGATCTAGCAAGTAACTAAGAGCCCATGAAAAACCATGGACGAAAAGGGTGCTAATACCTTCCCTTTTCATAATCTACCCCCTGAACTCAAGAAACAATCTCAAAGGTCTTTCATGTGCTTTTTTACCTTTCCTTTTTGGATAAAAGAAAAGTCAGTGACGACTCTTGCTAACGGCAACATTTGCGATCAAACGCAAAACCTTCAAGTCAGTTCTCCCATCGCATCACAAGATGGATGTACCCTGCTGAACATTATATGAAAATATTAAAAGAGTACCTGAAAAACCGAAGTCGCCCAGAGGGTTGTATTGTTGAACGATACATTGTTGAATATGCGGTTGAGTTTTGTACTAAATATTTGTCCAAAGTTCAATCCATTGGACTCCCCAAAAGTCATATTTTTGAAAAAAAGGAATGTAAAAGATTAATTGGAAATAAAATTATGACAGTATCAATGGATGAACGGGATTAAGTGCATCTGTATGTTCTACACAATGACATTGAGGTTGAGCCATATGTTGAAATGCACAAGGATGTACTCAGAGGGTTAAATCAGAATAGAAATGAAAATTGGATAGTACGGGAGCACAATCAAAGTTTTATACCATGGTTTAAGGATCATATTTTTTCAAAGCTTCATTTAGACCCGCTTCAATAAAAGAAAGGTTGAGATGTTTGGCATATGGTCCAAGTTTGCATGTATTTTCTTATAGCGCATATGCAATTAATGGGTACACATTTTATTCCAAAGAACAATATGATAAAAGTACTATGCAAAATAGTGGTGTCACCGTGCTTGCTGAAGCAATGCACATTTCAAGTATGAAGGACCTAAACCCCAAATATGCAAATATGTCATATTTTAGGGTTATCGAGCATATTTAGGTGTTTGATTACGAGAAGTTTCAGATTCCTATCTTTGGTTGCAAGTGGGTAAGTAGTAGTGGCATACGAATGGATAAGTCATGATTTTTGCAAGTGGATCTTAATAGGAAGGGGTACAAAGATGAGCCTTTTATTCTAGCCTCTCAAGCTAAACAAGTGTTCTATGTCACTGACCCGGCGAGTACAAAAGGGTCTATAGTGCTTTTATCTAACAAAGTGATTGATGATAATAGTGTAGACCAAGGTGATATTGATGATGAGAATGAGTCATGTATTAGACAGAATGAGTCGTATATTATAAATGATCAAGATGAGAATATTATAGCAGATGAATCATATATCAGAAATGATCATAATGAGGGAATTTGGATAAATCCATCCGTCCGCATTGTTAAGAAACAAGTAATTCATGTTCCTACAAAGAAAAGAAAGAGATGTTAGTGAAAGAGATAATATATTAAAATGTTTATGTTTATGTTTGTGTTTATGTTTAAGTTTATGTTTATGTTAATGTTTGTGTTTGTCATTTTATATATATTCAAATGATTATGGAATTTTATATTGGTTTTATGTTTATGTTTATTACAGGTTAGATGGCTACTAACGAGGATTACCCACATAATGATTCTAGGCATGATGAAGATGAGCCCGTTAATAAAACAGAAATGGAAATTAGACGAGGAATAACAATTATGAAGAGAATCATTCGAGATAGAGATCGAGGCATAAAGTATGGTGTGCATTGGAGTCAAGAAGGCCAACTAATTGAGCCTAATGGTTCAACGTTGACGAGTTATCTTGGTTCGGTGGTAAGGAGAGAAATTTCAATTACTTGTGAAGATTGGAGAGCAAAAGTGTTGAACGACGCTAAAGATAAAATATGGAGTGAGATACAGGTATCATATGTGATGTTATTTTATTTTAATGATGATTATGTCTTTAAATTACTTATACTAATGCACTTTGTGTATCATTTTCGTAGAGGTCGTTCAACATTGATGATACCAGGAGAGATTATATACTTAAATTGGCCGTAAAATTACATAGAGGGTTTAGAGCTTTTTTATCAAACAAGTTTCTTAGGGATGCAGATAAAATTTTTGTTGATGCAGAGCTTCCAAATAAATATGCAGATTTGATTACACCAGAAGAATGAGAAACTTTTAAATCCAAAAGAAAAACCCAGAAATTTAAGAGTTTAAGTGTAGTAAATCGACAACAAGCATCAAGTCCCGCATATCTATACAGAAAAGGGCATATGGGATATGCACGCTTACAACAATTTATTGTAAGTATCTATAAATTGCAAAGTATCTATAATATATGCACGCTTATATTTGATCATGTTATTTGACTTAATATGTAGTTAACAAAGGAGAATAGTTCTGAAACATCTCTTCCGGGACATGTTTTGTGGAAGGAAGCCCGTGTGTGTAAGGATGGAGCTGTTAAAGAAAATGTTCAATAAATTTTCGAGAGATGTGTAAGTATAACATTATTTATTTAATTAAATTATTCTTTTATTTATTTAATTACATCATTCTTTTATTAACATATTATTCTTTAATTACAATATTCACATGAATTTCAGGAGACACTTTCTCAGTCTATACCTTCAGATGAAGATAATGATTACAGGAGAATACTTAGTCGAGCATTAGATATTCGTGAGTATTCTGGTCGGTCGAGGGATAAGGGATTTGGGATCACTCCAACATCCTTGAAGAAGAAATCAAATGCAAAAGCTCTTAGCAATAAAGAACTTCAGGAAAAGTTGAAAAAGTTACAACAAGAAGTTTATGAGCTAAGAAAGGAAAAAGAAATAGATCAAGCTACAGGTTTTAAAGATACTAGTGACAAAGGTAGTATCATTGGTAACTTTGGACCGAATGTTCCCGAGGTGATTATATACCATATTTATTAATTATATAACCATATTTATTAATGGTTATAGGGCATTTCCTGGTGTCAACTCTATTTGTTGTCACCGACTTATCGGATGGTTGGCAAGGGAAAAGTGCATAATACTCCGGAATAAGTTGTCATCGTCTAACATAACTTAGCCAATTAAAAACTCAAAAAAGCTAGGTACATGTGGTAGATTGTGGTTAAATCTGAAAATGGTTCACTAAGATTCATCCTTGTTCATCATTTTCAGCATAAGTTTCTTAAAAATGCATGAATTTAAGAAAATAAATAGTGAAAATTCATCTAATCGGTCTCACGAATAACATGTAATGCTTATAATTAAAATATAAGCAAAGAAAAAAAAATCAAAAATCAATATTAATTCACATCTTACCACTTTTGCTTATGGAGGTTCAAAAACACTTTAAGCTCATGATTTTGGATCAATGAAGTTTCCATACAAAATAATGATGATTAAGATACTAATTAAGTACAACAGCATAATAATATAGAGAAAAATCAATAAATAATAAGCATTAGAGCCTACCTAAATGAAACTTAAAAAATAACTTTTAAAAAGGAGAAAATTTGTGCAAAGGGTTTGCTCTATTTTTGTGAATGATTATTGGTGTCATTTGTCAATCAAATGAGACTTCTTTATAGGCCCCAGAAAGGATAATTTATGAATTATGAAAAAAGAGATGCAAATAGTGTGAGTTCCTTCTATAAATTTATTTGATTAAATAATGAATAATGATGTCATATATGTATGGAATAATGATGTCATATATGCATGGAATAATGATGTAATAAATGAAAGATATTTTAGACCTTGTAGAGACATTGAATTTTGTTTTATGATGCATATAAATTATTAATTAAATTCAAATGGATATTATGATGATAAATCAAATGATCATGAACATTTTTCAAAAAGCATAATGAAAAAAAATAAGAAATTTTAGTCCATTTTTTCAACATCTTAAATGTTGATTTTTCTTTGACTTTTTATTATGATGCATGATAATAATCGATGAATATTCTAAGTGGAATAATGTGATGATTTAAATAATTTTTTAAAAATGATTAATGATGCATGAATATTTAGTCAACTTTAATAATACATGAAATGTTGACTTTAATTGACTTTATTTTATGACGGAAATGCATATGGCTAAAAATGAAAAACTTGATAAATTTACATGTATGATATGAATTAAAAATAACGCCGGATAAAGTAGGGGTATGACAATTGGACCCAAACAATGTTTATATTTTAAATTTTAAATATTATAAAAAAAAAGTAATATTAAAAGCAAACTTTCATTGATTATACTTTTTTTAAATATATGTTTTTTCTATTATTATAAATCCTTCAAATATTAATGAACATAATAAAGATTATACACAAAAAGAAAGAAATCGAAATTACATTAGAAAATTCAATGTAAAGTTTTATTTTTTAGAATATGTAGTGTATACATCTTAAAAGAATTAAATCTTGTATTTAATAAAAGTCATGTATTAGATATCATAATAAAAAAAATGATTTTAGCTCTAATTCCAGCTAGTTGCATTTCAAAGTTCTCCTTATAAATAGCATAACAAGAGTTGTAAGAAATTCATAACAAACAAGTTACAAATTTTATTTTTGCTCATTTTTCAGGTTGTTTTGATCATTATTGATCATGACCAGAAAGAAGGTGAAACTTCAATACATAATCAATCAATCCAGTCGGAGAGCAACCTACAACAGAAGAAAATCAAGTTAGAGTTTAGCAGCTTCTTATTTTCAATAAAGCATAAATTAGACTTCCCTGATTATATATCATTTATATCCTTTAACTATATTTGTTTTTCAATAGGTTTACTGAAGAAGGTTAACAAAATCAGTATCCTTTGTGGAATAGAAGCATGTGTCGTAGTTTATGGTGAAAACAATGTTGAACCAGAGGTTTGGCCACCTGGTCCAAGAATACAAAACGTGTTACAAAAGTTATATGGTTTATCTAAACTCGAACGAAACAAAAGGGCAGAGGATTTGGAGGGTTACTTGAAGAAAAGAATAGAGAAATCCCATGAACAGTTGAGAAAACAAATTTTGGAGAACAAGAAGAAGAAATTTACCAATGTCATTGATAAAGCCCTAATTAATCTACATAACAATACTGATCTTGTGAACATCAATGAACTCAATGATATGAAAGATGAACTCAATGATCTGACAAAATTTATTGATAGCAATATCAATGAAGTCGAAAAAAAGTTGGAATCGATGAATATTGAAGACGAAGAGCATGTTGGTAATGAAATTGAAGCTATGATTTGAATTGAGCAGCAGAGTAATAGTGGAAATGTAGTGAATGGAGGAGATATGCAGGCTCATGTTCATGGTTTGGATATCCAAAATGATTATCAATATCTTCCTTGGGATAACTTCGTGTTATCATATCATGATTATAATATGGACACAGATAGTCTTTGATTGTGTTTCTTAAAATATTATAGCTATTAGTTTTGTGTGTCTTTCAGTGTCTTTGTATTGTGTTATGTTTCAATTTATTTCTGTTTTGTTTGTGTTTGTTTGTTAGGCTGTGTTTTTCTTTTTGAATCAATGTGTGTGTGTGTGTATCTTATTTTAGCTTTCAGAATTTTCATGTCCAGTACATGATCATCAATGGAACCAATAGTGGTTTGATTTATGTTGTTTTGAATGATTTTTTTTTGTTTTTATTTGAATAAAATAATATTAAAAATAAAAAAGGAAAGATTGAACACAAAGAATGTTGACATAAAATAAACAAAATAGGGAAGATTCATTGCTTGAATTTTACTCTAATCTGCCATTTAAGTATGTGTATTTCTCATTAGTAACATGGATACTCATGTAATTTAATAAACTAATGTCACTACGCCAAAAAAGACTTACGAAAGCGCTTTTTTTGGCCTTTAAAAGCGCTTAAAAGCGCTTTCGTAGGTGGCGCTGCTATAGGTTTTAGCAGCGCTTTTTGTTTAATGAAAAGTGCTCTCATAAGTTTTCTTTTAGCAGTGCTTTTTTCTAGAAAAGCGCTGTCTTAGGTAGGCTTTTAGCAACTCTTTTTTCTGGAAAAGCGCTTTCATAGGTGGTCTTTTAGCAGCGCTTTTGCCTGGAAAAGCGTTGTCATATGTTTACCTTAGACAACGCTTTTTGTGAAAAAGCGCTTTCATAGGTTACCTAAGGCAACATTTTTCTTGAAAAAGCGCTTTCATAGGGTGTTTTTTTAGAGGTATAATTTATATAATTCATATACCTGCATTGTTTGCAGCATATTATTTATATAAACCAGTTGCCATAACCTGTAATTCATAAACCGCGGTAATGCATTGTATACCATTGTAATCCAAAATATATATACACCATTTTTGTACCCCAAAATATATAAAAACCATTGTTATCAGCATTGTAACTCAAAAGCAGTCTTACAAAATCAACCCTAACAACAACTAAACCAGTCCTAATGTATGAAAGAAACACGGTCAATTATGTATTAAGGTCCTGGTCCTGTGAGGTTTGAACATAATAACACGGTCAATATGGTATTCCATGTACACATGTAACATATTCATAACACTTTTCACATAATAATGTATTCATACCTTATATGATTCTCTGCTCAATAAAATATTGACACAATTCCTCTTTGATTTCTTCCAACTGAAGTTTCGTGTAATATGCACATTTCTATTCATCAAAGTACTACATAACAAAACATAATATGCATGATTTAGTTAAAAGTAAAAAATTATATGAAATATCCGAGAAATAATAAAACAAATCCTAAGTTATAAATCCATATCGTGACTGGAATCTCTATTTGATTCAGTTGAAGGATTTCTTTGTTAAACCGCATAACGAAGTATCCGCAATCTATACCGTTTTGCTGTTGAGGACACTACATAGAAAACCAAATAAGAATATATAGTTGTATTGTTTTATCAAATAGCATAAATATTATAAGCAAAATAGTGGAAATTAATATACCTGCACTTTGATCTAATTAATGTTGTTTGATTTAGACCGTCGTACCCGAGCTTCTCTTTGACACTGGAATACTTGTATCGCTCTAAGAAAATAAAAATATATATTTAGAACAATGTCACAGAAATAATTAAATATATAAATACACACAAATATTTAGAATAATCTCACTTACGTATCAATCATTAACTTCATATTCGGATAATTTGTCCAATCACTGTCAACCGAATTCAGATAATAGACCACTTCTTTTATAGGATCGATAGCAACCAACAACCAGTGACGTCTATAAATTAAAACAACAGTTTAGAAGAAAATTTTCTATGCAAAAATTACAAATATTAAAATGAACTTAGAATGAGAATCTAACCCTGTAGGAATAGTATTATACGCCCAAAGATATAAGCTTTCTGTACTGCCAGTTGCCATGAATCTTTCGACTAAGTGCTCTCTTACTGAATCTGGTTCCCTACCAATTGTCGCTCCGCTGACACGGGAGGAAGACACAAAATGGAATCTGTTTGACAATTGATTCCCGCGCATCAATTTGTCATATAACAACCTTAAATAAAAACATAATTAATATTAGACTATATTCATTGAAATGTTTAAAAGATAATCATCGTTGTCCACGAAGTAATGCGGCTTGACAAGCGGGACAACTGATCTCTGCACATCATTAGCAAAGAAACTCAGCACTGTGCCATATCATTGTCATTTTTTTTCTTACAAAACCTAGTATTATCAATCACAAAAAATAGCCATTTGTTCAAATCTTACTACAAAAAGTACTACAGCAGCAATGTATCACAGAACAGTCGTGATTTGTTCAAATCCCACAACATTATAACCGCTACTTAACAACCCTAAAAAAACAAAATTTACATAAAAACAACAACCACACCCTCCAACAAAAAAAAAAGAAACCCAGAATAGCATTACCTCTTTAGAATACTCATCAAGTATGCAAGGTTTCAATTTCATGTTTTGAACAATGTCCCAACTACAACACACTCTTTGCCCTCTTCAAGTCCCAACACCGTGCACACTATCCAAATCACCACAAAATTTCAAGTAATCAAACATAAAAAAACAATCAGATTAAAAAGGTACGATAGATTTAAAGCAAAACCCTAAGTTGAAAAAATATGAAAGAAATGGTAAAATGCAAACCAGGAGAATTAGGTTTCCATTGGGAAACAAGGGAATACAAGAGAGTTCGCATCAATCGAAGACGAGCGTAGTAAATTTGACTGTACTGCTGTCCATGATACATCTCTTTCCCAATTTCGAACGGTTCATCCTGCAATGAAATCGAATTAGCATATCTTCAGAGTTAACAGCACAAACACAGTGAGAGAGAGGGGAAGCACTGAACCTGAGATTCGTAGGAGGATTGGACTCTCTCCATTGCTATGGTTTGGCGGGAAAAGTTCGAAACTCGCAGTTGGCCGGAGAAGTGGAGCGTCGTTGACCGCCGTAGAAGCTCTGGTTTAGGGTTTTTTCGTGAAGAAAATCTGACTGAGAATAGAAAAGTGATACGAATTGTGTTTTGATATTTATTATAAAACTACCTATGAAAGCGCTTTTAAAAGCGCTTTCTAAAGGTCATCTATAACAGCGCTTTTACATCAAAAAGCGCTTTCGTAGCATATCCTATAGCAGCGCTTTTAAAAGCGCTTTCTAAAGGTCAGCTTTAGCAGCGCTTTGGAAAAGAGCTTTCTAAGGCTGACCTTTAGCAGCGCTTTCTTAAGGCACCCTCTGAAAGACCAGCTTTAGCAGCGCTTTCCAAAAAGCGCTTTCTAAGGGTGACCTTTAGAAGCGCTTTTGAAAAGCGCTTTCTTAAGGCACCCTTTGAAAGCGCTTTTTTAAGCGAATTTTTTTTAAAACCTACAGCAGCGCTTTTTTCCAAAAGCGCTTTCTTTTATGTGCTGGTAAAACTTATTTTTGGCGTAGTGTGTGTACTTAGATTTAATATAATTTAAGAACCCAATATTCAAATCTTGTTTAGATTTAATGAAGAACTAGATTAAGACACGTGATTTATGGTTGTAAATTAACTTGTTAATATTTTTTATTGAACTTTAAATATATTAAAAATTGGTTTTGAAAAAAATATGATTACTAAATTTATATTATAAATTTTGTTTGGGAATTATAATAGAGACAATAATATAAATTAATCACATGGATAAATATATATTTCATTTGAAAAGAAAATATATATGTGTGTAAATTGAGAATGATATCTTTAATTTAAGTTTACAAACTTATATATCTATAAAGTGATTTTTTTGTTTTGTTTTGATTCTCATGTTTTTTTCGCATTTATTTTTTATTTAGATATTTTACTTTAATTTGTTAAATATACATATGTATTTTAATGTTAAATAAAATTAAAAGTTTATTTACAATTATTATCAAATGAAACTTTCAATAACTTTATAAAATTTATGTCTATTTTGTCGAACATTATAAGATTGTTGCATACTATATTATTTTTTAAAATTAACTTAAAGTGACTTATATTTGAAAATTGTGTAGAACTACTTTAAGATTAAAAATATTTATTTTAAATGTTATTTTTATTATTATAATTTTAGGAAAACAAAAAAATATTTTATTGTGTTTGGATTTTGACTTCACTTTTATTTTTGAAATTTGAGAGAAATATTCTTAAAATAAGGGAATATACATAGTTGGAGTAATGATTGACTTGTTAGACCATTTTATTTAAAATAAGATAAATATATTTTATTGTGTTTGAATTCTCTTATTTCTTTTGTGTAGTATTTTTTTATTTATCATTAGTTTATCATTTTATATTACATAAAAAATATAATAGTAAAACATATAGACATCGTAAAAAATTATTGCATATATTATATTATATTTTGAATAAGTTTAAAGTGACTTATACTTGAAAATTATGTAAGAACTACTCTAAGATTAAAAATATTTATTTCAAGTGTTACTTTTATGATTATAATTTCACGAAAACATAAAATAGTTTATTGTATTTGAATTTTCACATATCTTTTATATTTAAAATATGAGAGAATATTTTTAATTTAAGAAAATATGAATAATTGGATTAGTGATTAATTTGTTAGATCAATTTATTTAAAACGATATATTATTTCATCTTTATGAAGGTTCAAAAAATAATTTATTATATTTGAATGTTGATATCTCTTTTATATTTGAAATATCGAACCCCTGATCTCGAATTTGTAAAAGTATAAGATGAAAATGAGTTTTGGGATGTGCCACATAAGATTATAGGATGATGTTAAAAATTTAGAATTATATTTGATGATGTGTTAGAGTTATAATTGATGATGTGTTATTATAATATTTGATTAATTGAATTTAATATATTATATACTATTCTGGCCTGCTTTTTAAGCAAAAAAAGACAATTTTCATGCTTATGAAGAAAAACAATTTAGTGTATTTATTTTTCT